AACGCGTTACGCGAAATAAATTTTGTATTACTGTGCCACATTTCATATTCGCAATTAACGAAAAAGAACTGTTACAGATAAATACAAATTAATGATTAATATATTTTCCAATTAAAATAAATTTCTTGTATTAAATTAATAATTACCATTAAATCCCAAGTATCAGCTTTAGTATCATATAATGTAAGCTTTTTTCAAATAAATAATAAATTAATAACTACACATTTTTTATTATTTATTATAGTTATTATTTATTACCTTATTCATGGGAACTGCAATTAGATCCTTTGTAGTAATAGAGTAATCTCTTCCACCAATAAAAACAATTACTCCATTAGCAATCAATACAGCAGCATGGTCAATTCTAGGAGGTGGAATATTTAGGCCAGTTTTTCCAATTTTACTCCAGGATAAATTATTTCCATCCAGAATAAAAAAATCATTAAAAAAAATACCAGTAGTAACATTCATATCATTTACTCCACCATGAATATATAATTTGCCAGTCAATGGATCACTAACACTTGCAAATCCTCTACGTGTTTCAGGTGCAGTTCCTTGAAAAGCAGGTAGGTTTACTAACCATTGGTTGCTTTTAAAATCATCGGTGTAAACCACACTTTTCAAATTATATTCACCAGTTACAGTATCATACATACGACCACCAAATAAAAATATTGTATCATTATTAGTGTTGGAACTAGCTTTAGCCCATGATGCAAATACTGGCAATGGTGAAGTTTCAGTTAAATCCTTCCATGGTGGAGTTGTTGTATCAAATGTTTGTGACAAATCAAGAGAAAAAAAATCCTTTGATGCTTGATCATTAGAGTCACCACCACCCATAACATATAAATTATTGTTAACAATAACAGCAGCATGTACATATCTTGGGTCAGTTGGAGTTGAACTTACCACCAAAAATAAGCATTTGAGCAAGATTAAAAATATTAAAAAGATGTTCATTATGTTTAATTAGATTGATTCAACTATAAAATTAGAAAAAAAAAAAGACCACATTTTTATTGACTGTTATATACTGTATATTCAAAATAAAATTTTTAATTTGTAAAATAGTAGTAACAAACGAATTCGTTAATTTAACTAAATTTGTTGGATTTTCATCATAATATGTGGTGTTTTGTTTATGAAATCGCATTTCAAGTGTAGAACTGGAATTTTCCTTTCTTCCTCAGCTACATTCACTAAAAGGGATGCTAGAAAAGCATAGGGTGCAGGGATCTGCAAAATTCGCCTGTCCCCTGTGCTTTTCATGATTTTTCGCATATTAATATCGCCTATGCCACTCGCCTGTCCTTTTCTAGATTTGATTATGATGGTGAAAAGCACAGGGGACGGGGACCTGCAAAAAAAATTTTTTGATGGCGGTTTTTTATTTTTTTTTTTTGATATACTATTAATACATAAAATAAATAATAATTTATACACAATAATTTATTTTTTTTATTTTTTCTAATTCTACTACTACAATGAACTATAGAGGTGTCAATTTTAGGTCTAGTGAAATATAATATATTATCATGTAATAAAATAGTTGCGAGTTGCAATGAATTAATTAATTGTTATATTTTTTATTATATGAATCAGGTTCAGACTCCTTTTGAATTGTTTCATCATCTTCACCTTCATTGTTAGTATTGTAATATTGGTGACCTTTATCCCAAAAATATTCAATTACTAGAAAAAATGCATGATATATTAAAGTCATTTGATAAGTGACAGGAAAATCATGTATTTTTTATAGAAATTTTATTCCTGAAAGAGTTTCTTCATTTAGAATTTTTACATTATATCTGTTTAATTTTTCCAGTAAAGTTTCTGCAAATAGATGTTGTTATTTATTTGTTTATTAATTATTTTATTGATTATTTATTAATTAATTAATCATTCTAATACTAACTTGCTTTGTTATTAGAATAAATAGAGTGACTATTAGAATCCTTTAATCTATAAGCAACCAATGCAGTTTGTGGTTTATTTCCTGATCAGGAAGTCAAACCTTTCGATTCTAATACTGCCATTCCTTCATTTAAGTCATCATATTTATAAACACCACTTTGATCATTAAAGCTTCAAATTACTTCATTGTAAAAATGCTGTCAATATATATTCTATAGGAATGTTATTTTCTTCATAACAAAACTGAAAAGGGAAGTCTAATTGATGAGATGAATTATAATTTTGACCATCTCTTTGAGTTATTTCAAATATTAAGGTATGTGGTCAAAAGATTATATATTCTTCATAGGATATTTCTTGATTAATACATTGATAAAGATTTGCATGGTTATAAGGACAAGGTTGATCTGGAATATTTTATTAATTAGTTGATTCTTTTCTGCAAATAACGTAGAGACTTGACCTATTAGATTTGGATTATCTTCAAAAAAAGAGCTACCAAATTCATCATTTCCATTTATTGGAAATAGTGGTTTAATAGGTGTTGGAGCAATTTTGACATGGCCAGATTTACATGACCATATTCGTAATCCAAGGACACAAAATTGTGACATAAGCTTTGTTGATTCTTTTTCTTCTAAAGTAACATTTTCAAACCAATGAGTTAATGATCCAAATTGGTTATCTTCTTGCCATTTTTTTTCTAGAACATGGTGATGAACAATTTCACAAGCTTCATTAAAAGTAGATTTTACATTTTTAGTTCCTGGAGTATTGACAGTGTCTCAAATGGTAAAACCTGTATATAATTTTTTTAGTCCAGAGTTACTTGGGATTACCCCAATGCAGATAGGGTTGATACTTTTTTGGAAGTTCGATTGTTTTCTGTTTCTGTTATTTTTTATTAGGAACATTTAAATCTTCATTATCTTTATCAATGTTCTTAGAAGACTAGTTTTTCAAAAGAACCTCAGTAGTATCTGGTGGTCTACGATTATTTACACCAGCACCTTTGGATCTTTTTCCCCTGGATGGTTTGGTGGTGCCATATAATCCAGCAACTTTTTTCCATTGTTCTTCTTCACCATACTTCAAAGAATGGCCTTTACTTTTATTCTTATAATCTACCTCCAAGGACATCACAAACAACAAGAGATTTTCAAGACCTAATTGAAATAAATTTAAGATAAATATTTATTTGGAATATCAATTAATTAATTAAGTTTTATTAAATACCTGTTATTGGATTGATTTGTAGCTCCACACATATAGTATTGAGAATGCATTGATTCTTGGACATTAGTTGAACCTGGTAATTTTTTGTATAAACCTTCATCCATAGTACTTAATGCAAGGAAAATGATTTTAACTGCATTGGTCTATTCCAGCCAGGTAATGGAATTTGGCCAATTTTCTTGTATCTCCAACTTTTTCAAAAAAATTTTCAAAATTGATTTTTAAGAGCTTTAATGTCATTGATTGAAATGTTGTTGAATCTTCATGTTTTATGATTGCATTATTTCATGCAATTCTTGTTACAAATTGTTTGTAATGCTCCTGACATCCTTTAAGAAGGCCAGTGCTTCTTTTCCAATATAGTTTTATGTGAATCTAAGAGAACTTTAGAATACAAAGATACTTGATTTTTTCCAATTTATGCCCAATGAATGTATCAATGAATTCTCTTTTTCCAGCCATGCTAAAATCTATAACTTGTGCATAAAAATTGTCACAATTTTTGGTTTCACTTTCACAATATTCATCAATCCATTGAAATAAGTATTTAAAGTGCTCTTTACAGTGGACTTTTTCCTCCCTTAAAATTACTGTTATCAGAATTGGTATCCATCTTTCAAGAAGAGGGCAATATAAAGAACTATTGTTCAAATTAAAATAAATGAGCAATGAATAATAAAGTCGGTTTTATTAAAATCTTTCAATTCAAAAATTTTTATGCACCTGGACAACAAAAAAGCATTTGAAAAATATTTGTAAGTGCTATCTGTAATAATGCCTGGAATAAGGTTGCTTGCCAAAACTCATCCAGAAATCAATCAGCAGGGTTTCGGCAGGTTACACGTTAATTGTTTATTAGAGTTTCGGCAGAGTTTCGCATTTTGAGGTTTCGCCATTTCGGCATAGTTTCAACAGGATTTTTGATAAGATTTAATATAGTTTTGCAGTGGTTGCGGTAATTACTAAGGAGGTTTCGCCCACAACCTTAATTACATTGTTGTTTATGTTCTAAAGATTGCAAAAATAGAGTTTTTTATGGGCCAACAAATATTTCCAAAGTTATCAGGGTTTAAAGATTTGCAATTTTTTTTGATGTCCTTAGATGCGGCGCACCATAGTAAATATCTGCACACGAATAGTAACAACACACAATGCCAATACTAATTTAGTAATTATAATTGTAAATCATTATCATAAACCGAACTTGAATCGTGTAACAAATTTTTTTTAATTTTTGGAAAATTTCTGCGATGATCAATATTAATCATTGTAGTTGTTGGGTTTATTGTGTAAGGAATTGTTTATACTTTGAATAACCGGTTTAAATCCAACTATTACTATTACTATGACTATTATTGTCAAAAATAAATTGCGAAAAGTTGGGTTTAATTACCGTTATCATATATATTTCCATACTTGTAACAATTTATTTAACAAACAATTCTATTATAATTAGGTGTTTTAAGAATCCTCTTTAAATGGTAAACTTGAAAAAAGGATTGATTGTATATGCAATTTATCTAATTATATTTGGAAACATGTCTCGATATTCTTGTTTTAATTTTAGTTATTATTTTGTAAATCACCCCATCTTTGCATTCATTTTTTTATCAATGGATCAAAAAATTTATCATTTGTTCCTTTTCTTTTTTCAAAATATTTCAAATCCATATTTATATACTTTTTTTGATAAATAATAAATCTATCCTTTTGTTTATTTGTTTTAAAATAGATTTTATTAGATCAACAAATGGTACACTACAGCAAATGTCAGAGAATCAATTATGCGAAAGCACACATAATAAGTATATATAGCTTGTAGCCTAGATCCTGTAGAATATGCATGCAAAATTTTCATGTTTTCTGATTTTTGCTATGTCATTATTATTTATTTAAATTGAAATTTCGATTATTTTCAAAAAAGAAAAAGATATTAATATAGGAAATTAAAATAATTTATAGGGCCTAGTACGTAGTCAACCCCGTTATTCCAGGTTTAACAAATTTGGTGGATTTACTGTTTATTTGGTTTAACAGGGTTTTTCGGATTAACAGGTTGAATATGTAGTTGAATACTTTATTATGTTAATTCTAAAAATAAAAAAATCTGTTTTACTGCTTTAGAAATAAACAATAATTATTATTATCTGTTATGACCAAATAAATTTTGTATTTCCAATTAGACATTTTAAAAAATAAACTGAGTTCCTACCTTTTGGTTACTGGTTGTTGCCAATGTGCGCCAAAATTCAATAACAATCAGATATGAGAAAATAATCACTATTCTTAAAATAGATAAAAATCTGCTAAAAATCAGGTATCTGATATTTCAGTGATTTTATTCCGAATTGTCCTGTGTTGGTCTACCTTAGAAAAAACACATCCTAATTACATGATGAGTCAATTTTTTATGCTAATGATGGAATGAAAATGTTTTGAGTACTCAAAAACAGCAACCTCTTCGCAAGGTTCATCTATTCATCCAAGTGATTTTTTATGCCTAAACCCATTAACGAGCTTTTATTTTTAAAAAGAAAAAATCCTTAATGTAGGATTGATTTGGCTAAATAAAAAATCGAATGCCTAAAAAATATAGTCCATGTCATCGTTTAGTATGACAAGTGAGAGTATAATAATAATGATATAATAATAAAGTTCAAAAGGCATGTGATTATTTCGTATCAGTAACGATTGAATTTGCCAGCTAGAAAATTTCACGTGATTAAATTAATATGAATTTCTGCGTGGTGCCAATTATGCGAAAGCATAATCCTTGATAGTCGTGTTAATTAATTGATCTACAAACACCATGCCACGTAAATAGAGAAGGTTCGGTTTCGAATTAATATTTTTTGAAGAAATAATAATAATGTCCAAATTATATTCAATATAAATAAAAACGCGGGTAATGGTATCGAATCATTTAGAATTATTAATGAGTAACAATACACAAACTTTTATTTTTGATCTACAAAAATTTTAATTGTGGCGGTGCCATTGCGGCGCAGGGTTGGCGAATTGACTGGTCCTTGAGAACTGATGGTCCATTGCCATTAATAAAATACTAAATATGGTTAAATTGTTACGTTAATGGACCCAATGGACTACCAATGGACCATCAATGGACCGCACACCTCCAGTCCCTGTTGCGGCGTATGTTTCTATTTTGATAAAATCAATAATTTTGTTTATCTCACAAGCGATTGTCGGTAACACGAATAAATAATCTTTCGCGTTATCTTTTACTATTATTGAAATATTTGGGAAAATCCTCTTATCAGATGGTAATGATGAATGATAAAAAAAAATGACGGAATTTTTGCATCTAGTTAGCTAGTTGATTAGTCATTAATATTAATATTAACAAATTGGACGAATTGATATTCATGCATATTACTTGGTAAATTACGATTTTCTTGATTGATACACAAATAACTAATATGTAAGATACTCATTATTCGTCATTGACCCTCAAAATTTCATCATCTTAATCATAAATAATACTCCTTTTAATATGGAAAATTAATTTACTGTATTATATAATAATATATTCTAATTTCAATTATGATCAATTGTTATCAGCTCGTGTGTGTGAGTAATAATATTTATTTATACATCTATTTATATCTGTACATATTTACCATACATTATATATATATATATCCACTAATAGTAAAATCTCTACCTACAAATGATAATGATCATACTTGACAAATATTGCTAAAATATTGCTAATAATAATATTGCATAACACCGGTATTATTACTTACCATTTCTTGTAGCAAGGAATTTTCCAAGAATTAATTCTTCGATCCAATCCATATTACCACACTCCATCACTTGTTTCATATTTTCTGTGTCTCGTATCTTTGTCCAATTATCTATTGCAAATTCTAAGCCTGCTGTTCGTAACCTGTTATCTTGAAACTCCCATCCTAACATTAATATCTGATCCCAATTCTCACTATTTATCAATCTAACCATTCTTTCTGCTGCCATCGTTTCAAGCTGTGGAATGCCCAACATGTCTGCTTTAGAAAAAATTTCTCTCAGCAGCTCAAACGTTAAGTCATCCTCAAGTTTATTTGTGTAAAGATGATGAACTATCGACCTGAACGTTTTATACGGCATATCTCTAATAGCAATCGTTTTCATGTGACCTTCCTTCCATTCTCCTCCCAATAAATTCTCAAAATACGCTGATCTCGCAGCCAATATCACACGATGTGCCTTCATCACTGATCCACAATCAAACACAAACTCTATATCATAAAATTTTTCCACTTCAAAATACTTTTCAAATGGTCCCAGTGAAAGATCAAATATGTTCGCAATCGAACTTGTTCCCTCACCAGTTGGAAGATCATTGAATATTTGCACCCTGACTAGTAAATCCATTTCCGGATATAAATTTTCATTTGTAATTGGGAACAAATCTTTTAATGCAATAATTCTTGCAAATCCATAATCTGAATTCGAACCATTAAATTCAAACTTTGTTTCTAATGTATGTCGACTAATCACTAGCAATGGATTTTGTTGTTGTTGTAGTTGTTGTTGTTGTTGTTGCAGTAAATGGTATGATTGCATCTGTTTATACTGAAATTGTTGCAATGACAACTGTTGTTGCTGCTGCGATTGTTGTGGATTATTATTGTTATTGGGATCAATGCGAAAAAGTGACAATCTGAATTTTTTTTGTCTACATCCTATACCATTTACCTTCTCATATTGTGTATGAATAGCTTCAAGATAAAGCGACAAATGATCATTAGACTTTTTATCTACCCCATTAGGAAACATTTTTAACCTCCATAAATAACAGGTATTATTATGATTATTGGTTTGTCCACATAAAATATTATTCTCATTAAATGCCATAGTTGTATTTGTTGTTGATACAATTGCTGTTGAAGGCGATGAAGATAACGAAGTTTTACCTGGTTGTCCTCTTGGAGACCAAAACCTCTCACTATAAAAAAATGTTTCATTTGGATGTCTTGCTGCTAATTCATCAAAACCCTAGCTTAAAACCTTTGCTATTTATTAATAGCAACACTAATACTTCTATATTTATAACCCAAGAAAAAAAAAAGTATATCTCATGTTGAATTGAATATTTTTATTCGTAAATAATAATATATTTATAGAATATTGAAAACTTACATCCAACTTTGCATTTGAACATTAATCATTTTTACCTAATAAAGAATTTTAAATATTACACTGTTAATAAGATAATTGTTCATTAAACACACTATTAACACATTATTATAATTGGCATAATAATATTCATACCTCCAACATGCTTGCTGTTGTTTTTTTTTGTGGTTGAGTTTAAAGACTAGTGCCGTAAATTATGATGATGGTAGTAATTGTATCTACGGCATATAAAAAATGATCACAATTGCCCTTGCGACCACTTTTGCAACCATACTTTTTCCTTTTTTGGATTACGGCACTAGTCTTTAGTTGAGTTGTTACTAGTTTAATAAATATATTTATTTCCTTGAATGCGGGAATCTTGGAAGCACCTCTCATCTAACTTCCGAATTACCTTGTTATTTTTCAAATTACTTTGGTGTTAGCTTAGGCTTTCTATTTATATATGCTTTACAAGCCGGAAATAAAATTTTGATGACCCAGGAAAAGGATTAATAATGAATGAATTTCGATTTATCTTTTATCTATGTCGATCGACCA